GGACCAAAGGCATGGGCTGCTCTCAAGGGTGTACACGCTCCTGCAACAGCGGCGGTGGCTGTGGTTTTGGAGCGGCAAATGGCGGCACTTCGAATTGACGAAGGCGAACCGGTGGAGGAAGGAGTGCAGAAATTCTTCGACTTGTTGACACGGCTCGAAGGAGCTGACCTGAACTACAGTGACCTTCAAAAGAAGACCAAGCTGCTAGCCTTACTTCCGGACTCATGGTCCTCGCTCATCATCAACCTTAATCGAGATCTGCCCCGTCTCTCACTCGAAGATGTGAAGCGGGAAATCTTACAAGAAGATTTCCGCCGTCGCGAATTGGCGGGTCCCGATGGTGCCGGAGTTGCAAGCATGGGCCGTGGGCACGGCCGTGGAAGGGGCAGAGGGCGAGGAGGCAGATTTGGCAGCAGCAACTTCAATGGAGGCCGTGGTAATGGAGGATATGGCAGCAACAACAATGGCTACGGGCGTGGGCGCGGTCGATTTGATGGCGAATGCCACTTTTGCCACAAGACCGGCCACATGTGGAGAGATTGCTTCAAACTACCTGATGGCTGGACCCCCTCTCAAGGCCAAGAGGGCAGAGGAGCAAGGGGAGGAAGAGGCAGAGGTCGTGGAGGCCGTGGTGGCCGTGGAGGCGAAGCGGCAAGCATGAAAGGTGGAGACTACGACAAGGACTCGAGTGAAGATCGATACCCGGGCCAATTCTTCTTTGTCTCCACGCAAGCGGCAGCTGCAGCAGGAGGTGTGGAAGGCTTTGAGGAGCCAGCTACTGTGGGAAAGGTCACCCTTCACTCTCTGGACTTTTGGGTGATCGATAGCGGCGCCACCTATAGCATGACACCTCGTGCGGACTTGCTCACCGAACTCGAACCGTCGCCGGTCAAGCATGTTACATCGGCTTTGGGACAGCGAGCAGAGGTGAAAGGCATGGGCAAGGCCATGTTCAAGGGTGCTGATGGGAAGATGGTGGGCCTCAAGAACGTGCTTTTGGTGCCCAACCTAGCAGCCAACCTGATTTCCGTTCGGCGTTTGCAAAAGGCCGGCATGGACACATCTTCCAAGGGTTCGAAAACATATACCGCGAGGCTTGGTGAGCGGAAGCTTTGGGACCTTCATGAGGACAGGGACATCTACAATGAGATGTGGCAAATCCCAGTGGTCCCCATGCCTAAGGAGAGGCAAGTGGCAGCAAGCGTCAGCACCAAGAGTGAAGCGGATGGTGGCGGTGATCACGGAAAACAAAGTGACACCAAGAGTGACTCGAAGGAGTGCAATCTTGGAGAGACCAGCAAGGCGTGTGAACCCAAGGAGAGTAGTGCAGCAGCCAAAGGTGGTGGAAATGAGGAGGGGAAACCTAAGATCAGCAAAGCAGCAGCGGCGAAGGAGAAAGGAGAGAGCTTGTGGGACACGATTGCGAGTGCCGCTTTCTCCAACCCGACTTCCGCTACGGGAGAGTGTGATTGGCTGACCTTGCATCGGCGAATGGGGCATGTGGCATTGCCCATTTTGCAGCAGATAGTTAAGCAAGAGATGGTCAGTGGGATACGTGTCAAGGGGGAGCCCAATGAGGTGCTTGGCTGTCCAACATGCATGCAAGCCAAGTTCACCCGCTACCCGTTCCATAGCTCGGAGACAACGGCGAAGGCACCACTTGATGAGGTGGTGATGGATGTGGTGGGCCCCTTGAAGCTTGGAGCTGCTGGAGCTGCGTACTTCCTCACCATTGTGGACGTCTACACTCGCATGACTTGGGTGTATGTGCTGCCAAAGAAGAGTGACGTAGCTGAAACGGTGAAGACCGATTGGTTGCCGATGGTGGAGCGGCAACAAGACCGACTTGTGAAGGCGATTCGCACTGACCGTGGGGGAGAGTTCCTGAGCAAGGATTTCTCAACTTGGCTGAAGAAGCAGGGCATAAGGCACTCTCTTACCATGCCCTACTCTCCTGCAATGAACGGCATCGCCGAGCGTGCGAATCGGACACTCACGGAGACGGCTCGGGGACTTCTCATTGAAGCCGGTCTTCCCAATTACTTTTGGCCGGATGCGGTGCGGCATGCTTGTGTGGCCAAGAACAGAGCCTTGACTCATGTGGGAGAAGACAAATGGGTGCCCTATGTGGAGTGGATTGGAAGGAAGCCGAAGGTGGATATGCTTCGGGTGTTCGGGTGCATGTGCATGGCACTTGTGCCTAAGAAACTTCGGCACAACAAACTTGATGCCAAGGCAACATGGGCCGTGCACCTGGGCATGGCTCAAAACAGCAAGGGATGGCTTCTTTGGGACCCATTTACCAAGAAGTTCTTGGTGAGCAGAGATTGCAAGTTCATGGAGAACTTACCGTACAAGGAGTGGAAGGCGGAGAACCAAGCGAAGATTGGTATGCGGCTTGGAGAGGTGAAGAGTAACGGCTTGGAGCATGTGGAGCTGCCCTTGGAGCTGAGTAGCAGCAGCACAGTCACGAGGCAATCTCCTCAAATGAATGGGGATGAAGAGGAGGAGGAGGTGCAGCAAGGTGATGAGCGTGCACCGTCACTTCCGCCTCGTGCTACAAGTGCTCGTGGGAACCGACCAGATTTACCGCAATGCCATGAGAGCATTCAAGTCCCTGCAGCAGAGGAGGAAGGAAGGGGGAGAAGGAGAACTCAGCCCCCTAATAGGTTGAGCTATGATCGGCTTGGAAGACCAGCCAACTCAACCTTGACCGGTTCGGCTCTCATGCTAGGCGATGATGCGGAAGATGAAAGCGAGGAGTGCGCCTTTGCCTTCTTCTCTCCGGTGGAGATGCCGGGGGAGCCTACAAATCCCAAGGAGGCTTGGGAGGGCCCCAATGGGAAGGAGTGGAAGAAGGCCTCAGATGAAGAAATGGGGAGCATCATCGAGAACGACACGTTTGACTTGGTGAACCTACCTCCGGGGCGTAAGGCGATCTCTTCCAAGTGGCTCTTCAAGCGCAAGACCGACGCCGACGGCAACATCGAGCGCTACAAGAGCAGACTTGTAGCCAAGGGGTATCAGCAGCAAGAGAAGAAGGACTACAATGAAGTGTATGCTCCTGTGGTGAAGGGTACAACCCTTCGAACCCTCTTCGCCGCGGCGGCCATCAAAGGATGGGTGGTGAAGCAAATGGATATCGTAACGGCCTTCCTCAACGGCGTTTTGGAGGAAGAAACCTACATGGAGCAGCCAGAGGGGTACAATGATGGGAGTGGCAGAGTGTGGAAGCTGAAGAAAGCACTCTATGGCCTCAAGCAAGCCCCTAGGCAATGGTACATCAAGCTGCGGGAAGTTTTGGAGGCGATCGGCTTCACTCCCTCAACGGCCGATCAATCGTTGTTCATGCTTGGCGAGGGGGAGCAGAGGAGCTTCATGGTGGTTTATGTGGATGACATCCTTATATTCTCACCCTCCTCTGACCTTGTGAAGGAGGTGATGCTGAAGCTTCAAGACAAGTTCAAGTGCAAGACCCTTGGTGACGTCAACTACTACCTTGGGCTTCACATTGAGCGAGATGTGGAGAAGCGGTGGATGCGAGTGCATCAAAAGAAGTACTTGGAGGCCTTGGCTGCAAACTTTGGGAAGAGTGAAGGTCATGTGGCTACTCCTCTTCCCTCAGGGTTCAAGTGTGTGAAAGGACCAGCGGAGGAAAGTGTTGGTGAAGAGGAGAGGCGCCGTTTTCACTCCTTGGTGGGCAGCCTCATGTATGCGGCCGTTCACACAAGGCCGGATGCAGCCTTTGCTACCGGGCAGCTGGCTAGGGTTGTCCAATGCCCTAATGAAGAGCAGGTAGCAGCTGGAGAGAGAGTGGCCAAGTACCTTGGCCAAACAGCAACTGTTGGACTGCAATACTCCGCGGCGGCACAGAGGCGTCAAAAGGGTGCGGATGGAGTCGAACCCGGGAGGCTTTTTCTCACCGCCTTCTCTGATGCATCTTGGGCATCAGAACCAGAGGACATGACAAGTGTGGGAGGCTTCATCTGCTGTGTTGGTGGAGGGCCAACAGCTTGGGAGAGCAAGAAGCAAGTGGACCAAGCATTGAGCTCGGTGGAGTCCGAGTACATGGCACTCTTCCGTGCCATAAGAGAGGTTGTGTGGCAGCGGCGTTTGCTAGCTGAATTGGGGGAGGAGCAGCAAGGACCTACCCCACTCTACTGTGATAGCCAGGGTGCTATTGCATTGGCTAAGAACCCCGTTCTTCATGGCCTTACCAAGCACATGAAGGTGAAGTGGCATTGGGTGAGGAGCATGGTAACCGCGGGTGAAGTGGAGTTGCACTACGTGAAGACGACGGCGCAGCCAGCTGATATGATGACCAAGAGGCTGGTTGAGCAGCAGCATTGGAAGTGTTGCAAGCTTGCTGGGATGGCTCTGAACTAAGGGGAGCAGATTCTAAGGCCAACAATCCGAGGGGGAGTTTGTTGGTGCAACCCTATGGCTTGCACTCGGCTTGTCGTCCTTGTTTGTGTGTGTGCATGCATGGCATGGAATGAATTGTGAGTCTATGTCATTGCTATCCAGTGCTTGTGTGTGTGTTTGAATGGTGTATCACAATGTGGTTTGTGCCGGTCAAGACATTAGCAAGTTTTTACAACTCGCATGTCAAGTCGTCGTTTGTGTGTCGCATGTGTTTTTTCTATTTTGTCGAGTGTGAAGTGTCGATCGTGTCGCAGGTGTGTGCAGCAAGCCCCCATCAACTCAAGAAGAATTTATCTTGCAGATCCAGGAACAAGAGCTCAAGATTTCAAGCCCAAGGGACGCGGATAAATATTAAATAGTGAAAATAGTAACGTTACTTCGTGTAGTGTTACATTTCACTTGGTGTAGCCCCTTGGAGGGTTGGTTTCGAGACTCTTCATGGTTGGGGACCCTGTGGTGGTGTACCACCAACCTGGACCTCGGCTCTTGGGGTATGTAGAGGCTGGGAACCATCTCCCTCTCGAACTCTTCTTGCTAAGTTTGTACTCCTAAGACTATTGTGGCTGCTATACCTCCTGCCAGTCAAACCGCCATAGCGTCGTCAAATCTTCATGGAATTTCATGATTCAACTTGCTGCTGATAGACGACAGCAACACGCTCCAGATCCAATTTACACATCACCGTTTGATTCAGTGACCAGATCGTTATCAGTATTTGAAGCCGTCTGACAGAAATCCGACTGTGCTCTCTATCTCTCATTATAGGCACATCTAAGCCTATTGTGATTATAACACGAAGCTATGCGTAGCGAACACGAAGCTAAGCGAAGCGAAGCGAAGCGAAGCGAAGCGAAGCGAAGCGAAGCTAATCGAAGCGAAGCCAAGCGAAGCGAACATAAAGCTAAGGGAAGCTAAGCTAAGCGAAGCGAAGTGAAGAGAAGCTAAGAGAAGCGAACACAAAGCTAAGCGAAGCGAAGCGAAACGAAGCGAGGCGAAGCAAAGCGAAGCTAAGCGAAGCTAAGCGAACCAAACAAGAAGCTAAGCAAAGCTAATCGAAGCGAAGCTAAGCGAAGCTAGGCGAAGCGAAGCGAAGCTAAGCAAAGCTAGGCAAAGCGAAGCGAAGCTAAGTGAAGCGAAGCGAAGAGAAGCAAAGAGAAGCGAAGCGAAGCTAAGTGAAGCAAAGCGAGGCTAAGTGAAGCGAAGCGAAGCTAAACGAAACGAAACGAATCGAAGCGAAGAGAAGCGAAGAGAAGCGAAGCGAAGCGAAGCTATGCGAAGCTAAGCGAAGCTATGCGAAGCTAAGCGAAGCTAAGAGAGAAGCTAAGAGAAGCGAAGCAAAGCGAAGCTACGCGAATCAAAGCGAAGCTAAGCGAAGCGAATCTAAGCGAAGCTACGCGAAGCGAAGCGAAGCTAAGCAAAGCGAAGCGAATCTAAGCGAAGCTAAGCGAAGCTAAGCGAAGCGAAGCTAAGCGAAGCTAAGCGAAGAGAAGCGAAGAGAAGCAAAGCGAAGCTATGCGAAGCGAAGCGAAGAGAAGCGAAGCTAAGCGAAGCAAATCGAAGCGAAGCGAAACGAAGCAAAGATAAGCGGAGCGAAGCGAAGCTAAGCGAAGCTAAGAGAAGCGAAGCGAAGCTAAGCGAAGCGAACATGAAGCTATGGGAAGCTTAGCGAAGCGAAGTGAAGAGAAGCAAAGCGAAGCGAACACGAAGCTAAGCGAAGCGAAGCGAAGCTAAGCGAAGCGAACAAGAAGCTAAGCGAAGCTAATCGAAGCGAAGCGAAGCTAAGCGAAGCGAACATGAAGCTATGGGAAGCTTAGAGAAGCAAAGTGAAGAGAAGCAAAGCGAAGCGAACACGAAGCTTAGCGAAGCGAAGCAAAGCTAATTGAAGCGAAGCGAAGCAAAGCTAAGCGAAGCGAACAAGCAGCTAAGCGAAGCTAATCGAAGCGAAGCGAAGCTAAGCGAAGCTAGGCGAAGCGAAGCGAATCTAAGCGAAGCTAGGCGAAGCGAAGCTAAGCGAAGCTAAGAGATGCGAAGCGAAGCTAAGCGAAGCTAAGCGAAGCTAAGGGAAGCGAAGCAAGGCTAAGCGAAGGGAAGCGAAGCTAAGCGAAACTGTGGGAGGCGAAGCGAAGATATGCGAAGCGAAGCAAAGCGAAGCTAAACAAAGTGAAGCGAAGCTAAGCGAAGCAAAGCTAAGCTAAGCGAAGCGAGGCTAAGCGAAGCGAACACGAAGCTAAGCGAAGCTAATCGAAGCAAAGCGAAGCTAAGCAAAGCGAAGCGAAGCTAAGCAAAGCGAAGCGAAGCTAATCGAAGCGAAGCTAAGCGAAGCGAACATGAAGCTAAGGGAAGCTAAGCTAAGCAAAGCGAAGTGAAGAGAAGCTAAGAGAAGCGAACACAAAGCTAAGCGAAGCGAAGCGAAGCTAATCGAAGCGAAGCGAAGCGAAGCTAATCGAAGCGAAGCGAAGCGAAGCTAATCGAAGCGAAGCGAAGCGAAGCTAAGCGAAGCAAACAAGAAGCTAAGCGAAGCTAATCGAAGCGAAGCGAAGCTTTGTGAAGCTAGGCAAAGCAAAGCAAAGCTAAGCAAAGCAAGGCAAAGCGAAGCGAAGCTAAGCGAAGCGAAGCGAAGCTAAGCGAAGTTAAGAGAAGCGAAGCGAAGCTAAGCGAAGCGAGGCGAAGCTAAGCGAAGCTAAGGGAATCCAAGCGAAGCTAAGCGAAGTTATGCGAAGCGAAGCGAAGCTAAGCGAAGCTAAGCGAAGCGAAGCAAAGCTAAGGGAAGTGAACCAAAGCGAAGGGAAGCGAAGCGAACCAAAGCTAAGGGAAGCGAAGCCAAGCAAAGAGAAGCGAAGCAAAGCTAAGCGCAGCTATGCGAAGTGAAGCGAAGCTAAGCGAAGCGAAGCAAAGCTAAGCGAAGCGAAGCGAAGCTAAGCGAAGCAAAGCTAAGCGAAGCGAAGCGAAGCAAAGAGAAGCGAAGAGAAGCAAAGCGAAGCGAAGCGAAGCTAAGTGAAGCAAAGCGAAGCTAAGCGAAGTGAAGCGAAGCGAAGAGAAGCATAGAGAAGCGAAGCTAAGAGAATCAAAGCGAAGCTAAGCGAATCTAAGCGAAGCTAGGCGAAGCGAAGCTAAGCGAAGCTAAGAGATGCGAAGCGAAGCTAAGGGAAGCGAACCGAAGCTAAGGGAAGCAAATCGAAGCTAAGCGAAGCTAAGCGAAGCGAAGTGAAGCTAAGCAAAGCATAGTGAAACGAAGCAAAGCTAAGCGAAGCAAAGCAAAGCGAAGCGAAGCGAAGCGAAGCGAAGCGAAGCGAAGCTAGGCCAAGCTAAGAGAAGCGAAGCGAAGCTAAGAGAAGCTAGGCGAAGCTAGGCGAAGCTAGGCGAAGCGAAGCAAAGAGAAGCAAAGAGAAGCGAAGCAAAGCTAAGCGAAGCTAAGCGAAGCTAAGAGAAGCAAAGCGAAGCAAGGCGAAGCTAAGCGAAGCTAAGGGAAGCGAAGCAAAGAGAAGAGAAGCGAAGTTAAGCTAAGCGAAGTGAAGCAAAGTGAAGCTAAGCGAAGCTAAGAGAAGCAAGGAGAAGCGAAGCAAAGAGAAGCAAAGCAAAGCTAATCGCAGCTATGCGAAGCGAAGCGAAGCTAAGCAAAGCTAAGGGAAGTGAACCAAAGCTAAGGGAAGCGAAGCGAAGCGAAGCCAAGCGAAGCTAAGCGAAGCAAAGCGAAGCGAAGCGAAGCGAAGAGAAGCGAAGAGAAGCGAAGCTAAGTGAAGCAAAGCGAAGCTTAGTGAAGCGAAGCGAAGCGAAGAGAAGCATAGAGAAGCGAAGCGAAGAGAAGCGAAGCTAAGAGAATCAAAGCGAAGCTAAGGGCAGGTATGCAAAGCGAAGCGAAGCTGAGCGAAGCGAAGCTAAGGGAAGCGAACCGAAGCTAAGGGCAGCAAAGCGAAGCTAAGCGAAGCGAAGTGAAGCTAAGCGAAGCTAAGCGAAGCATAGTGAAACGAAGCAAAGCTAAGTGAAGCGAAGCGAAGCAAAGCAAAGCGAAGCGAAGCGAAGCGAAGCGAAGCTAAGCGAAGCGAAGAGAAGCGAAGCGAAGGGTTTAGGGTTTAGGGTTTAGGCTAACCCTAAACCCTAAACCCTAAACCCTAAACCCTAAACCCTAAACCCTAAACCCTAAACCCAAAGGGAAGCTAAGCGACGCAAAGTGAAGCTAAGCGAATCTAAGTGAAGCTAACCGAAGCAGAGCAAAGCTAAGCGAAGCTTTGCGAAGCGAAGCGAAGCTATGCGAAGCTAAGCTAAGCGAAGCGAAGCTATGCGAAGCTAAGCTAAGCGAAGCGAAGAGAAGCAAAGAGAAGCGAAGCGAAGAGAAGCGAAGCGAAGCGTAGCAAAGCGAAGCTAAGCGCAGCTATGCAAAGCTAAGCGAAGCTAAGCGAAGCGAAGCAAACAGGAAGCTTAGCAAAGTGAAGCGAATCTAATCGAAGCGAAGCGAAGCAAAGCTAAGGGAAGCTAAGGGAAGCGAAGCGAAGCGAAGCTAAGCGAAGCGAAGCTAAGGGAAGCAGTGCGAAGCGAAGCTAAGGGAAGAGAAGTGAAGAGAAGAGAAGAGAAGCGAAGAGAAGCGAAGCGAAGCAAAGCTAAGCAAAGCTAAGCGAAGCAAAGCGAAGCGAGGCTAAGCGAAGCGAAGCGAAGCTAAGGGAAGCAAAGCGAGGCTAAGCGAAGCGAAGCGAAGCTAAGCAAAGCAAACTGAAGAGAAGCGAAATGAAGCGAGGCGAAGCTAAGCGAAGCTAAGAGAAGCGAAGCGAAGATATGCGAAGCGAATCTAAGCGAAGTGAAGCGAAGCAATGCAAAGCGAAGCGAAGCTAAGCGAAGCTAAGCGAAGCTAATAGAAGCGAAGCGAAACAAAGCAAAGATATGCGGAGCGAAACGAAGCTAAGCGAAGCTAAGAAAAGCGAAGCGAAGCTAAGGGATGTGAAGCGAAGAGAAGCAATGAGAAGCGAAGCGAAGCCAAGCGAATCTAAGCGAAGCTATGCAAAGCTATGCGAAGCTAAGCTAAGCGAAGCGAATAGAAGCAAAGAGAAGCGAAGCGAAGAGAAGCGAAGCTAAGTGAAGCAGAGCAAAGCTAAGCGCAGCTATGCAAAGCTAAGCGCAGCTAAGCGAAGCGAAGCAAACAGGAAGCTTTGCGAAGCGAAGCAAAGCGAAGTGAAGCGAAGCGAAGCTAATCGAAGCGAAGTGAAGCGAAGCTAAGGGAAGCAAAGCTAAGGGAAGCGAAGCTAAGCTAAGTGAAGCGAGGCTAAGCGAAGCGAACATAGAGCTTAGGGAAGCGAACCTGAAGCTAAGGGAAGCTAAGCAAAGCGAAGCGAAGTGAATAGAAGCTAAGCGAAGCGAGCACGAAGCTAAGCGATGCGAAGCGAAGATAATTGAAGTGAAGCAAAGCTAATCGAAGTGAAGCGAAGCGAAGCTAAGCCAAGTGAACAAGAAGGTAAGCGAAGCTAATCGAAGCGAAGCGAAGCTAGGCGAAGCGAAGCGAAGCTAGGCGAAGCAAAGGGAAGCGAATCTAAGCGAAGCGAAGCTAAGCGAAGCTAAGCGAAGCGAAGCTAAGCGAAGCGAAGCTAAG